TTAAAATGGTGATGACTGCCCTCAAATGGACCCTTAATATCACCTAATAGGCAGAAACAAGTTCATATTATATGCCTGAGAGTTCTATCTTTTGAGAGACTTGCTTACAACATTGGCCCTTGATTGCTGAATCTGGGAACTTTGATTTCAGAATAGTGCCAAACATTGTTTGTTAAGAACAGCTCACTGAGCCTACATTGTTTGTGCAAAACATGTGGTTCATCTGTTCCGCTGGTCCTCAGGTCTGTTTCTTTTCCAGTACCATGCTGCTTTTACCACAGTGGCTCTATAGTATAGTTTCACGTTGGGGACTGTAATACTCCCCACCTTGTCTTTATTTCCTAGAATCACTTTTGCTATTCTAGGTTTCTTCTTGTTCCAAGTGAATTATTGGATTGTTTTCTCAAGGTCCGTGAAGTATGTTCCTGGAATTTAATTGGGATTGCACTGAATCTATGTAGCAGTTTTGGAAGTATGAACATTTTCACTATGTTGAGTATTCCTACCCAGGAGCAAGGGATGTCTTTCCATTTTCTGATATCCTCTTCAATCTCTTTTTTCAGAATGCTGTAGTTTTCAGAGTAGAGATCTTTGATTTGTTTTGTTAGGTGGATTCCTAGGTATTTCAAGTTTTTGGATGCTATTGTGAAAGGAATTGATTGTCCCATTTCTCTCTCAGTGAGTCTGTTCTTCTTACACAGAAAAGCTACTGATTTTTGTGTGTTGACCTTGTATACAGCTACTTCACAGAATTTGTATATTAAGACTTTTGGTAGGGTTCTTGGGGTCTTCTATATAGATATCTTGGCATCTGCAAATAATGACAATTTGGCTTCTTCATTTCCTATCTTTATTCCTTTTATTTCTTTCTCTTGTCTAATTGCTGTGGCTAATGTTTCCAGAACTACACCGAAGAGGAGTGGTGATAGTGGACATCCTTGTCTTGTTCCTGATTTCAGTGTGAAGGATTTAAGTTTTTGACCATTTAGTATGGTAAAATATATAAAGAACTTTAAAAAATCAGTCCTCCCAAATTTAAAGACCCAATCCAAAATAGGAATCTGAAAGGAACAGACATTTCTTAGACAAGTATAAATAGCAAATAAACATATGAAAATTTTTCAACATCACTGGTCATTTGACAAATGCAAATGAAAACAATGCTGGGATTCCACTTCACCCCAGAAAGAAGGGCTGCTATCATGAAATCAACCAATAACAAATGCCGGTGGGGCTGTGGGGAAAGAGGAAACCTGCTCCACTGCTGGTAAGAGTGTAGAATGGTGCAACCACTGTGGAAATCAGTATGGATTACCTCAAAGAACGAGGATTGGAAGTCCCATTTGACCCAGATATTCCCCTGATGGATTCTTTCTCCAAAGAGTTAGAAGACTCATACCATATATGCTCACCCATGTTCATAGCAACACAGTTTGTAGTAGCTAAAACTTGGAAGCAGCCCAATTGCCCATCAACCAAAGACTGGATAAAGAAAATGAGTTTTTATAAATAAAATATAGTACTCAGCCATAAAGAAAAAAAAACTAGAGACATTTACAGCTAAATGGATGAATGTTGAGGGGATACTGTTAAGCAATATAAGTAGGACACATATGTGAAAATAAGGAATAGTTTCTGTAGTGTGAGAAACTGAAAATGTACATAAGGACTAAAATATATAATAGATAATGTGAAATATGAAGAAAAGGGATAAGCAGGAGGGCCAGGGATTTAGCTCAGCGGTTTGGTGTCCTGCCTTGCAAGCGCAAGGACCAGAGTTCAAAAAAAAAGACAAACAAAAGACAAACAGGAAGGGGAAATGGGAAGGACAGGGGAAGAAAAGAAGGGAATGAAATTAACATGAGAAAATGAAAAATAATGGAAACAAAGTCTTTGTAGATAGGGAGGGAGGGGTTGAAGGGAGGGCAAGGGAATGAGGAAAAAATAAGAACCAAGACGGATTATGCAAAGGTACAAATTTCCAACAATGAATGACATTATATTGTATACATTAAATGTGCCAATAAAGTTAATTTTTTAAAAAGCATAAGGAATTTTAAAAAACGATAAATTAGAGTTTGTCAAAACAAATATTTTATGCATCAAAAGACACATAAGAGATTAAAATCAGAACTTCAAAGAGATATTTGTACATTTTGCTCCCAAAAGCATTAGTGACAACAGCCAAAAGGTGGAAGCAACCCAATGGGCATCTACCGATAAGTGGATAAACAAAGTATAGTGTGACCATACAATTCAATATTAGCCTTCAAATGGAATTGTTTACACATTCTATATCATGGATGAGCCTTGAGAATATTGTGCTGAGTGAAATAAGTAAGAAAAATTACGTTTTTAGTTTCCTTTTATGAGCAAGCTAGAATTCTTCAAATTAGTGGAGTCAGAGAATAGAGTGGTGATCATCAGTAGAATGTTATTGAAAAGAAACCAAGAGATATTATTTAGTGGGTTCAGAGTTTAGTACAATAAGACAGAGCTGAAGATAGATAGCAGCAATAGATGCACAAGAATGTAAATTTATTTAAAGCCACTGAAGTTTACACTTAAAAATGGTTACAATGAAAGAGTAACGGTAACAATGGTGGTGTGGCTGTGGTGAGAAAGGAACCCTCTCACATTACTGGTGGGAATGTAAACTAATATAATCATTATGCAAATCAGTGTAGAGATTTCTCAAAAAATTAAACTTAGAAATTCCATATGTGCCAGCTATCCGTCTTCTAGATATCTTCCCCAAAAAGCTCAAGACATCATACTACAGCTATACATGCATATTGATGGATACATGTTTATAGCTAAATCCTAGGAGCAGCCTGAATACACACCAACAAATGGCTGGATAAAGGAAATGTGGGATCCATGTATAATGCAGCACCGCTCAGCTACAAGGAAGGACAAACTCGAGACATGTAAGAAAACGAATGCACTTGGCAAATACGATCATAAGTGAAATAAATCTATAACGGAAGTTTAAATATCATATGATGTTTCTCATTTAAGTAAGGCAAAGTACAAACAAAGAAAATAGCAAAGGAAGGATAGGAGACAAAGGAAAGCTGTCCAAGGTACCAAATATGAGGGGGGAGGGGGAGGGTTGAGGAAATAAGTAGAAGAATAAAGAGAAGCCAGGTACAGGATCCTAATATCCTTGATGAATGTAGCTATATATGCCATACACGTGAACTAAGCTTAATAATATCAACCAAATCAAAAGTGGGGAAAGGGAAATTGGAGGACAAGGAAATGGAGGGAAGGAAAGGAGATTTAAAAAGAAACAGGCTGTATTATGTGCATGCAGCCACTCCCTGAAATAGTTGTAAAATGTGTGCACTGCAAACATTTACTAACAAAAAAAAATTTTTTTTAACTTTTTTTTTTTTTTTTTTTTTGTAGTTCTGGGGATCGAACTCAGGACCTTCCACTTGCAAGGCAGGTGGTGGCACCAATGAGCTCAATCCCTGGCCCATGGGAGGAAAAAAACTTTGAAGGCATAAAATTAGGTAGGCACAAAACATTAATGATGAGAAATAAAACAACATGAGACACAATAGAAGCAAAAGCAAAAACTAACAAAAAACCCTAATATTCCTACTTGCAGAGATATTTACGATGAAGACATTTTTTTCCTAGACTTTGAATATTAGAATCTCCCAATGCTGGGAGGACTATGAAATGCTTTTTCAATCCACAGTGCTTCTCCTACTCAACAGGCCAAAGTGGGGTGGGCATTGTGTGGGCTCAGTGTTCCTCTCTCCCTATCCACAGTTGAGTGCTAAGATGGAGTTTCTGAGGCTGGGCTTGATCCACAACCAGTATCTCAGTTTTTTTTTTCTTTTTTATTTGTACATGTTTGCAAAATAATAAACACCTTTCTCGTTGGGAATTGGCACATATACACCTCACATTTTGGTTATTTTTGCTTCCTCTCTCCTCTCAGTGACTGGCTAGTGTTGGAGTCAGCTACTCGCCCAACCTGTAGAATTCTGGGTAACAGGCAGAAGATTCTCGAGATCCCAGGACTGTGCACTTGGAGGCACAGCTCGCAACTATTTAAGCAGGGACAGCACGTACTATGAATAATATCAATGTGTCTGCACAGCATAGAGCCAGCCAGGGCCATGAGGCTGTGCTGCACTGGGAAAACATGGGCTCAAGCTTTCCAGCTAATCTCAGCCACAGTGTGCCCCTTCTTATCTTTTCACGAATCCACATATAGCTCATCTCTTTCCCTGTCTCAATGCCCCCGCCCCTCCCCGCCAGGGGAAGACTTCAGCTAGCCTCTGTCCAGCAGCTAGCATTTCCCTCCAAAGTACGGGACACATCCTACCACCCAGAATTCTTAGCTGATCCACGTCACAGTCACTCTTTTCCTAGGCCCGGTGAAACTCAGGGTAGTTGCCCTCAGAGTTACTAAAGAGAAGTGGCCACTAAATGTGGGAGATATAAAAAATAAAATAAACAGGGTTTCCACTATTTTCCCAAGCAGCCCCTCCAGACAGTGGCATGCTTCTGAAGATATCCCCCGCTGTAACACAATCTAAATTCCCTGGGAACTAACGCCTTCACTGCTCCGGATTGTTATGTAGAATTCAGTTCTCCCTTGCTCAGCCTGCGTATTTGTCCGGCAGCAGACTCTAATTCTTAAGAGTACACCGGGATTCTCTCAGCCAGCTGAAAGCGAGGCTCCCCTCCCACTGAGCTGCCTTGCATCCAGTTAGTACTAGTTCTGTTATTTTGTTCTAAATCGCAACACTCCTAGGCTTCACCAACTCCTCAATTTGCACAGCAGGGCTCTCCTCACCAGCCCCTCCCTCACTGTGCAGCAACATACCTGTTGATTGACTTCCGTCTCCTGGAGCAGCCTGTGAATGCTGTTTGCCTCTAGGTTGCCATGAAAATCCCTCCTGAAGCTTGACCTGTTTTTACTGAGGAACAATATAAAAATGTAATGTTCTATATTTTTAAGGACGACCATCAGAAAACTCCTAAACTCTGAACTAGTAAGTACTTAGCCATAAGGCTCACATTTTTATAACTAAAGTAAAAGATCATAAGGTAATCATAGAGCTGTTCTTCTAATTGGACAATAGACTGTCAATGTGATTCAGGCTCTGTGTCTTCAAGATATCCATTACTGTAATATTCCTTCTTTTTTTAGAAAAATACCAAAGCAAATAAGCTGTCTTGTATGAGCCAATGGAGTCCAAGACCAAAAAGGAGAAGAACCTCCTTGTGTACACAATCTTTTGGCAGATAAAACCCTGAAACTTTTTCTAAACTATTTGAATTGCACTTTATTGATTTCAAAATACTTCACTGGTCGAGGGACATGTTTGACCTTTATTTGTTCCAGAAGAAAAAGCACAAGGCTAATAATGTACAGGCAAGCAATCATCAGACTCTTTCAATAAGGGAAAGAAACAAACAGGAGCGTGTATGAAGGCAGAGCTCTATCCAACTCTAAAGTGCTAAAGATAATCCAGTGGCAGCAAATGACTAACTGCACCACATTTTCTTATACTCAACGACACTTAATATATGGAAAATAAAAGCAGCAGGCAAGCACATTTCAAGCTACCTGGAAGGTTAAGTTGGGTTTCTGTTACATTTTAGCAATTTTAAATACCAAGTAATGGAACATTTCCCTTCCTTTATAGCATTTCGGAGCATGATGGAGTACCTTTTCTAAAGATAATGGGAATCATATTCATCACTATCATAACCGCCAAATAGGATGAATGAAGCCTCTCTGACTCCTGCAGTTCTGTGTACAGCACGGTGAAGGGATGTAACATTCCCCTCTTCTTCCATCCTCACTGTTTGTGAATCCAGTAAGCATTCTACTGTTCTCGTTTTACCACCTATGCACAAAGAACATTTCAAAGCCTGCAGAATCTAACGAGTTACTCAAATAGTCTCCCCTCCCCGAGTAAATGATCTCAAATAAACTTGGGGTGAAATTAGTGCTCTTGTGCATTTCAGCTCTTCCTATGAAAAAAAAAAAAAAAAAAAAAAAAAAAAAAAAAAAAAGATTCACCCAAGAGCGTGTAACTCCTGACTTTAATGTAAAATACCTAAGTAAAAGAATAAGACCCATTAGAAAAGTGTTTTGTAGAAAATGTTGGCCAATATTAGTATATTCTTAACGACAAGTTGAAAATGGATATTACTCCCTTACACAGAAGCACCCTTCATAGTCAGACACATTACACGGAGTGGCAAATTAAATCAGTTACAGGAAGTTGTACTCAAACATTCAGACTGCAGGTGAGTGTCCTAGACATTTTACTGTTAGACTCCCATCGAGCTGATTCGTTTCTCTAGCCCCCATTTTCTCATCTGTAAAATTAAGCTTCAGATACTTTCTCAGGTTTCTGCTAGGTAGGAAGTCCATATCTCAAATTTAATAAACTTCAGATCAGAAGTTATATTAAAAATAAGGAATAGCTAATTCTAATGCACATATATTCTAGTATCAATTTTAGCTCTAATTTATAGCAAATACCATAATTTGTACATTCCCTGTAATTATTTTTAAGTCTTTACATTTTCAAGTACCATATATATTGATGTGAACAAGAAGGAACTTAACATTTTAAATGAAAAAAATTTTAAATAATTTTCTATTAATATAACTCTAGGCTGTTTATCAAAGTAGATAACTCCTCCTTGAAAATGACACTCTTCTTGGTCATCTTGAAAAATAAAAAATGAAATGAATGAAAAATGAAAACTATACACATCTAACACTCCTCAATAATCAAACATTAAAATAAATCCTGTTGCAGAACCTGTTAAGAGCTCTGTCTGAACTGTATCCCGCCTTGATTCCATAGATTTTAGTACATGAATATTGTCGTTTATAAATCTACCCTATTCCTATCTTAAAGTTATGATATAGACACATAGACATTGTTCTGCCTCCTGCATGAGTCTTTCAGATTGCGTCTATCATAATATTTATCAAACTGTTTTACAGCTTCTTCCGCTAATCTGCAGACTCCTGGAGACCAAGGACTATATTTTCCTGGGGACGGATACCCATTAAGAACACACTAAATGTTTATGGAATCAATAAATGAAAACGTGAATGCACGTGCGGGCATCCCTGCAGCGACCAATGTGGAATTTACAAATGTCTGGATGTCCACTGCTTCCTCTACACTTCAACTCCGTCACTGGCTATTTAGAAATAACACAATTCAATTTATTCCATGAATACTTAACAAGCACCTGTTATGGGACCGATTCTGTGGGCCAGTTCTGAATCCCAGTAGTTTACGAGTGACTGAAGGGTAATGAGTGAGAGAAATACGTGGTCTTCTAGGACGTGAGACGCCGTGCCTGCTGGAGCCGCGAGGAGGTACACGCGGCAACCAGTTACGCTAGGGGTGACGGAACTTGTAACGAAAATATCAAGAGGCCTTATTTAAATTATAATATGCAAGCAAAAACTAAAACAACTATGTGTTTAAACTTGCTTAATATTATTTTTTAGTATCTCCGACTTTCTGTGTTGTGACAGAAATTTTAAAATATCCTTGATGTCTGAAACTATCCATGTGTTAAGTCCTATTTGCAGATGTTAGCTCATCTGAAAACCGGCAGATGCTAACAAACTAGGAATAAAGTTTGATTTCAAGCATTCAGAATGATGACTTTTAAGCTACATTTATAATTTTTAAAGGAGGAAGTTAAAAAAATAAGTACTAACCAGCCAATGATAGAATTAATTATATTTATTGATTTTTTTTTTTTTTTTTTTAGTTCTGGTTTAAGCTTCACTCTGAACTTGGAAGAATATATAAAAAACTTTACATCTTTAAATAGGGAAGGGAGGAGGGGGTGAAGGGAGGGCAGGGGTAAGGGAGAAAAATGAGAACCAAGACCTGTCATGCAAAGGCACAAGATCCCAATGATGAATGTAACTGTACTGTATACCTAAAATGTACCAATAAACTCAATGAGAAAAAAAAAAACTTTACATCTGACTGACCATCGCCTGCTTATGGAGACAAGAAAAAAGCAAATTAATCATATATATAGTTTAGGTCAAAACTTTGCTATTTGGGGAAGGATAAAGTAAACCTATTAACTAAAGTAATTTTGTCAGGGTTGCAAGAAAATTTCTCAATTCTCATCTCTTTTAAAATCGTGAATGACATTTCTGTCAGGATATAATGTATTTAGTAATCATTTTTCTTTGATAGCAGCTCTACTAAATATGTTGTGAAGATTTCTGAAGCTGCATCTCACACCACAGAAAAATTCTGTGATAGTTAGACTTTTGTACCACGCAAAGAGGAGAAAAGAGATAAACACTGAATCATCCGCCCAGAGTCAAAGGACTCGGTTGAAGCTTACATGGCACTTTTAATGCACACCTGGCTTAATTTAGGATTTTGTAAGATCAAAACCAGAAACCAATATTCTCCAAACTTTAGTTGGCAAAATCTGTACTGAGAAATCAGTTTACATGATAAGTCTAAGCTGGAAATAATGTAGATCTATAGCCAAGAATTGTGTCCATGTGTTATAACCTGTGAAAACAAGAAAAGCATCTAACAACAAGAACATGCAGGAAATATCCATGAAGTAAACCAACTTGAATTCCATCTGCAGGTGTCTCTCAGTCGCCACTTCCTAGGGCTTCTTCCACTCCCTCCTTTTCTTTAATGCCTCCGAGAAGCTGTGTTCGGCATGTGGCACTAACAGAATTATTAGAATTGCGAAGTCTATTTTTTAACTGAGTATGCCTAAGTTAGATTTGCATAACACATTAGTCTACTTCTTCAAAGCTAGATTTTTTTTAGTAGACAGGAAAAATATGCTCTTAAAAAGTGTATTTCTATCATAATAATTCCAAGAAAGGAGACATTCTTCTCAGCTGTAGGGTGGGGCAGATTCAGAAAAACGTTTATCTATAAAAAGGAACAGATGGGCCAGTAAAGGACTACACCAGAACCATAACAGTTAGGATATATGATGCCATCCTTAAATTATACTATGGAATGTATATTGACTGCTTTCTGACAGTATCTTCCTTCTTTTTGCAATCTCAATACCCCTCAGAGTCTAGCAACTCTGGTGACTCCCTCTTGTCAAGCCTAAATGATCCTTCTTCATTCACACCTTCCCAGAGCATCCATCACATTCTTTTCTTGTACAAAGTTTGTTTCCTTTATTAGATGTCGAGTTTTCCTGGTTCTTGTCCCTTGGACTATTTATAATCATCCTCCCTCTAATGTCGTGAAAGACCTGACTAACTGTGGTGTTTGCTTGGGACTTGAAATAATTTTCCTCTTGCTAAAGGCTTTGCTCGGTGTGTTTTCCTCTTTGCTCTAATTCACTTGCGAATATTAGCCACATTTTGTTTTTAAGGAAAGCTCCCATCATGCTAGAAGCAGAGAGGGCGTCCAGTCCCTAATTTCAGCATAGTTAATAATGATGATCTAACTTAGGTTGTCTCTGTAGGAAAAAAAAATGGTTTCAGATGTTATTTGATAACTTACCTGTTAATAGTAGCACCTAAAAGCTGAAGAATAGCTCTGCTTTTTCATTTAAATAAGTATTGCTAAATGAGTGTCAGTTACAATATTCTTGCTCATAACTTTTTAATATTTTGTTCGTTTGTTCATTTCAAGCTGAGAATAAATATAAACCCCACACTTCTTTAGTGTGTGTGTGTGTGTGTGTGTGTGTGTGTGTGTGTGTGTGTGTGTGTAAGGGGAGATTAGTGGTATTCAGTGTTTAACCCAGGACTTTTGCACTGAACTGCATCCTCAGCCTTTTTTTCTCTTCCTTTCCATTTTTTAAATCTTTTAAGGGTCTCACTAAATTGCTAAAGTGCCCAGGGTGGGCTTGAACTTGCAATTCTCCTGCCTCGGCCTCCTAGAATGCTCAGATTGTAACTGTGCACCACCCCTCCTGGCTCTCTCTATTAACAAAATTTATGTGTTCCTTCCACCAAAAACCAAAGTGAGAAAGTTAAAAGGCTCTGTTATTATAAATATAAATGTGAACACAGCAATCTGATTAGTGTCTTCCTCCTGAACCAAGCAGAACACGGTTTCCAAAGATTTCTGTAAACCTTGGTGGTTGTGTTTCTATTGACCTCAGCATGCTGCTTTCAGTGGTTATTTCCATGAATTCAAGTGATGTTTCAGTCTGATGCAGGATTGCTAATGGAGGAAGGCTGTTCCTGAACAGGTGGATGTAGGATACTGTTTCAAACTTTCCGATCAAAGTGTTCCATTATCTGCTGATACATAATAAGCAGCCCTAGAAGTTCATGAATAAAAACAAATAACTTTTTATTTTTTAAAGGTAGTGCTTTGCTGTTGTTGTTGCTGTCATTGTTACTAATAGATGATGGATGTTATTGTTACTCACAGATTTTTATCACGCATTGCCATTGGGAAATACTTTGTCTTTCCTATTTATTTACTTTGTTGCTTTATTTTTTGGTTATGTTTTAAAATACAGTCATATTTTGTTTATTAAAAAAATTAAAAACTAGAAGTAGTGAGGGTGTAGAATTATTGAAGGCAGAAAGTAATGTACATTCTACAGAGCAGTGAAGAGGTTCACAGTGGATAAAAGAAAAAAAGGCCTTTTATTTTTTATTACCTGTTTGTGGGCCATAGAGATCACACTCACTGTGCGGCACTGGTACATGCACATGACACATCTTGATCCTTTTTTAATCCTTTTGTCTCCCCTTTCTCCCTTCTCATAATTCTTCGGGCTTGATAAGCAGTCTTCTCTCAGAGTCTGTCAGTTTTAATAAAATACTAGCTGGGGTTGGAGTCATCTGTAAACCCTGTCGGGCTGGGTACCCAAGAAGCTGGGTACCCTCTTCACTGGCTCGCGTGATACTTCACCTGAGATGTCTGAAATGCTGCAGGTTCCCCTGCTAACTCTGCTGACGGAAGTGCTCGTGGCCATTGGTGGGATGTTTATGTGTTCCTTCCACACAAATCTAAACCGAAAATCATTCGAAAGTCCAATGTGTATATGTTCCAAATATTGACAATATGAAGCAATACGGAAAAAAGTCTTTCTCGTGTGCCTGGTGCTTATAGGGCTTCTATGCAGCATTTTCAATACATTTGGATTCTTTTTGTTTTTCCTGATTTATATAGAGAAAATGTTCTAAGAGGATAAAAGAAGCTGTACAGTTTCTTGTACCTTAACGTTGAGAGTCACGTGGTGTCTCCTCTGCTACTTTTATCAGTTACACAGAAATAGGCCAAACCCAAGGTAGTTGGGGCACTGCACAAAAATATGAGTGCCTAAATGTATCATGAGAAGGCTATCTTTTGGGACTAGTTACCCACTCAGTGCAGCTACACATAAGGTCAGCCTACGAACAGTTCTGCATTCATTATCTCTGAACATCAAGTTGAGCAGGTATTTTCAGGTGGAACATAACATCTAGACAGTCATAGAAACTGAAATACTCTAGTAATCAGTGGAATTTTCATGCTACAGGCATCTGGCTCTCATACCCTCCAGGGAACAGTATAATTTACTTACTGAGATGTGCATCATGATTTACTTAAAACTGTACTTGTTACAAAGTCATTTGTGGAAGTAAAATAATGAAAACCACCTCCTTGCTTATTTGCTACAATGGCAGCTTAATTAAAATATAGAGTATAAATTTAATAAACTACATGCCATTACAAAAATTGTCTCAAAATGGACACATGGGATATTGCCTATGATATATTTCAAGTGAAAAAATATGGGTTAAAATTATGTATACTTTAATTTTATAACTATAAATGTGTGCACATGTATGCACACAGATACATATATACACATTTATGTGTAGAAAATTAGAATGTAACACATTCAAACATTTTTTTCTTCTTCAAGTTTATTGGCACATTTAGGTATACAGTACAGTTACATTCATTGTTGGGATCTTGTACCTTTACATGACAGGTCTTGGTTCTCATTTTCTCCCCTTGTCCCTGCCCTCCCTTCACCCCCTCCTCCCCTCCCTGTTCACCAACACTTTATTTCCATTTTTTCATTTTCTCATATTTTTTTCTTTTCCCTTATTACCTTTCCCCTACCCTTCCCATTTTC